CCCTTTCTCCTCCCGTTTAACCACTCATAATCCCCTCCTCCCAATCTTTCACTTAATTATGTCCCATGAATGAAGTTCATCTTTCATACTGTCAGCAGCGTGGCCCACCCGTTCTGGGCTATCTAATCATGGCGCAGAGACAAAACTAAATTTAGACAGCTGGCTTGTGATGCCTGGCAGGTCCAAATGGAGGCTGACATTTCAAGACACTCTGCTGATGTACAGGATAGACTTTGCCTGAGCAGACCACAACCACAGTTGACCAAGGCTGATGACTTGTGAACCAGTTTGTTTTGCTCACACATAAGTTTTCAAAGTGATCAAACCTAGAGGTACTGTACTGACTAAAGACATAAAAACATAATGAAATCCAACATTTACATTTTAGGATCTTAGCCAGTACTCCCAGTATGTTTACCTCACAGTAATCTAGCACTGCATTTCCACTATGGTAACCTAACAAGCAGTATGCCCCATACTTTCCTTAACTATCATCAAGCATAGTCACCCATACAGTAGTTAACGCGGACCATCCTGGTTTGTTTTTCCACTGTATTTTCTCTCTATCAGTCCCTGTTTAGTTAGGATCTTAGCCAGTACTCCCAGTATGTTTACCTCACAGTAATCTAGCACTGCATTTCCACTATGGTAACCTAACAAGCGGTATACCCCATACTTTCCTTAACTATCACCAAGCAATGTCTCCATACAGTAGTTAACGCGGACCATCCTGGTTTGTTTTTCCACTGTATTTTCTCTCCATCAGTCCCTGTTTAAAGGAGGAAGAGGCTGCTCCCCTCTCAAACATGCAATCAATTGTGTTTCTACACACGGTGCTTGTAATGATAATGCTTGAAGTGTGAAGACGTAGACATTTAACCAATCACCAGTGACTGTAAAGTCGGATTTTGGACAATGTAATGTCAGTCTAAAATGGGGGAAACAAAATGTAAAATTACAAGAAAAGGGGGAAATATATTAATAGTAATTGAGAAGAGGAAGAGTGGTTGCTAAGCAACATTGATAGGAAGGAGGGGCAACTACCTGAGTACGGTTTCCGGGTTAGACAACATTTTTCACACGTGCAGCGTAGATGATCCGACTGTAGCAGAGTGCAGGTGCAAATGTGTGTGTTGAAGCTCTGTTGAAACTGCGGAAATGATTGTTTAGCTCCAGTTGGAATAAGGAGGGGATACTTCACCGGTGTGGCTAATCGTAGGGGTGTCACTGGCATGTAAATTGGTTTTATGTAAAACAGTAAGAGTTTTTTTATTGCTGTGGTCAGTATGGTATGCCAATTAGCCATGTGGTTTTGTCATCTTATTTGAAGTAGCATGTTCCTACTTTGTGTTATGTAAGTTAGCTATGTGGAGTCATTTGTACAGAGTGTACATGACGCTGTATTTCTTTTAAATTTAAGTTAAACCTGCAACATCAATGTAGGATTAGAGAGCCCATAATGCTGGTAGCAATAATATAATGTTACATTGTATTTTTCTCTCTCATTTTTCTTTTGTAAGGTTATCAGCCCGTTTTGCTTCTGCTTCGTGCTACTGAAGAAAGCTTCAATATAAAAGACAAAAGTAGAAGAAACTGAGTTATTCCTGCATCCCCTGTGATTAGCTTATGCCTTTTTCAAGTTTGGGCAGCATTTGAAGTAAAATAAATGGAAAACTTGACAGTGACTGCTCTGCGCACACACCCCCTCTCCCCTCACATTCCTGGTACTTGATTTTTGAACTACCTCCTAAGGGGTGCTGAAATGTAGCCCCTAGAACACAACTCCAAAGTGGGCACACAAGGCATAAACTCAGGACACTTGACAAGCGTAACTCGGAACAACATATTTCAGTAGGTTCCTATAAAGGAAAAACCCATTAAAAGGTGCCAAGTAAAGCAAAGGCAAAGTGCTACAGGGGATACAAATTCACACACATTTTTCAAACTTCAAACCAGCCAGCCATGTCTGTTTATGGCACAGGACTCGTGGATACAGTTTAAAATAATGGCAAAGAGATTTTTAGTGGTAGCAATGATAATGTGATCACTATTACTTAAAAGGGAAATGCAAGTATGTTTACAATTCTTGGGAGCGCTAAAGGCTACATTAGCCGCTACTAGCATTACAAGAGTGAAACTGACTAGACCGTCAGCAGTCAAGTTGCATATTGTGTAATGTAGGTGCCAGGTTTTGAGAAGAGTGCATAGAACTGTATTATATTAAAAAAAAAGGAAAAAGAAAAGGGTCAGGGCTATTAGTTCTGACCACCAGAATCTAGCATCAGACTGGCTATAATTCAAACAAACAGATGGGAGAAGTATTGACAACCGCAACAGGAACTTACTATATTACAGCAACAAGAGCAGATTAAAAAGGAAGCACTTTTTTTTTGTTTTACTAAAATATGACAAAGTATACTTAGAAAAGAGAAGAAATCTAGGGGGTAAAGGGGTGCATCCAATATTAGCCTGTGGTAAATTAAGACCACAGCTGCCATTTGAGAATGAAGGCTATGGTATTTAAACCATGTCATTTCTTCTGTGAAATATCTCAGACACACTCTTTTTGCATTGAGCATATTTAGGGTATTTAGACAGGCACATAATTAGCTCTCTTGCTAAGCACTGCACTTTTCTAATTCTCTCTCCTGGTCTCACTTTATCCTTCACTTATGTCAGGCACACTCAAGACACACATATACACACACAGTACAGTATAAACAAAAACTATCCAAGGACACCAAAGGTACATGTTTAATATTACCGCACAGAACATTTCACTGCAAAATGGCAGTTTTGTTGCAAAATCTCCAACAATAAAAAATAAAAGTCTTCAGTTCCCCTCGCTGTTGTGGTTGATTTATGTGCTGCGTCTAGAGAGCTTATAAGATATCATGACATGTTACAGAGGTAGAAAGAAAAGAAAAAAAAAAGACCTCACACTAAAAGCTTACATGATGTATTTACAATGTGTTGCCAACGTTTCGACCCACTGGTCTTTTTCAGGGCAAGTAAGCTGCAAGGGTAGAACCGTCAGGCAAGGCTACAGAACGGACACTGCTTCACTCGTCTGTGGTAACAATAACTTCTGTACCTCATTTGGATAGCAAGATCGCAGGAGAGTTCTTAGATCTATTATTGTACTTGAGTAGGCATCTGCTTTTTTGCAGAGTCAGCAAACCATTAACCCTGACATTGCTCTGGTGTCATCATTGTCCCATCGGCACAACTTTGCTCGCTACTATCACAAATTTGGTCCTTGCAAAAATAATGTTACTAGTGTTAGGTTATTTTTTTAGTTAGATAGATATTCAGAGATTTGTTGTCTAGGAATGTTTAGTGCAGACAGGGTGACTAGCTTAGGCTGTTAACTGTTCAGCCTGCAGTGCAGACTGCAGGCACGTCAAGGTTACAGGAAAAGAGCTGTTAGTGTCAACTGTAATGCTAGTCTTAATATTTGTCTTAATGTGTAAGGTTATGTCCAATTGTTTTAGATACACACCACGAAAACAACAGTCACGCACCTTGACTTTTCCTCATGTTTTGGCTAAACGTTATAGCAGCTGCAAGGCTTGCTTATCGGGTGACGTCACGGTTCGACAGCCCAGAAAGGATTAATATTGTATAGCAATGC